ATCGACCCTCGACCATTTATACCCGAGGCCTCGACGCTCGTCTTTATCCAATATTGGCGTATCGACCCTCGACCATTTATACCCGAGGCCTCGATACCCAATTAGTGACGTATCAGCCCCCGACCATTTATACCCGAGGCCCTGACACTCACCCATTCACTTCATAACTTCCAAACTCCATATATCATTTCTAGCCTCCAACCAAGATTCATGTACTAATTTCCTAATAACACCAACCACCACAACGCCCATCAACAACACACCCACTAGTATGATTTCAATGCATCACAGATCTCAATAACACAAAATTTGTCAACAACCGACCTGCTCACAACATAGAGCACACTAAAACTTCAACGAATAATCTATGTCAATTACCACTAACCTAAGCTTACTTTGGTGGTACTTAGTAACAATTTAGTCCATGAAAAAATAACGTTTTACAACTTTAAAATTAGTAATAATTCGGTCACATAAATTTTATGGCATTGATGTGAGATGCCAACTAGAATTTATTAGGATCTAGGGGTGAGCAAATACTCCAAAAAATCGATCCAACCAATCAAAACGATTCGGTTGGATCGATTTGATAGAAAAATCGATCGGAATCGATTTCTAAAATTTAAATACCTATTTTTATCCGTTGGTTTTGTTTGGGTGTAAAAATACCCTGGACACGTGGAGGACAGCCATTAGCGCTTAAGTGAAAACCGGAGAACCAGGTCCACCTCGAACCGTCGAGGAGACCAGTTACAATCGTTGAAAAGGCTAAGTACGAAAGCCGAGGAACGACCTGCTCGGGGTCCGACCTACCGAGAAACCCAACAGGTCCAATGTGATAAAAGACAAGTAACCGCCAGTCGTCTGTACTGTCGGATCCATCACCTATAAATAGAGGGCTTCATTTCACGCTCAGGTCCACTCTAGTATTCAGGTCGGGCCGGAGACCGGGTTCGAGCTAGGTTCGTAAAAGTTCCGTTGTGTAAATCTTGCATAAATATTTGGCGCCGTCTGTGGGGAAGGACGATCTAAGTCATCCTAATTTAAGAGCGTGAACAAAAATGGTTCAGCCAGCAAACTCAACCGACACAACCGACCGAAGAGCTCAAGCGGCCAATGATGGCCACCAGAGGGAGGTCCGAGCGGAGGTGGTAGAAGGGCAAGTTCATGAAGGCCTGAGGACAGAGCCTCTCCGCAGGTCGGCACG